GTTATTTGACCAAAGCTTTCTATGCACAGAATTTTTGCGTTTATTTATAATGGACAGTAGTATTTATATTAGACAAACTCCGTAACTTAATAGTAAAGGAGCTGTACTGTAATTCAAAACTAGTACGTAGTACAGGTACAGTATACCAAAAGTTAGTACGTATGGATAATTGAAATAGTACAGTACAAAATTTCGAACGGTACAGTACAGAAGTTCAGGATACCCCGACTTCATTACAATCACGTATTGGTACCAAATCGTCGCAACGCAATCTATCAATGGCTTTCAGTGTTCTCGCCTCACTCTCTCACATTTTTTCTCCTTTCTCATCCCAATTAGTATATACGACGCACGCTTGTGTACAGACCTTGGGAGAGCAGTTCGTTAATACACTTTGGGTTTTTGTGGCCGTATCTACAAAATCGAGTGTCGAAATATCGTTTGACATCTTGTGATGTTTGTTTATTACATAGACGTTGGTTGACTGAGTTACACCTGACCAATATCAACACACAAGTCGCAGAAGGAGAAGAAGAAGTCGGAAGAAAAGCCTCAAATTGCACGACGAGAGGAAGGAGGGAGAGTTAAGTGAAACCGAATCAGTGGAAGCTTATCCACCGAAAATTACTCAGCTCAAACATGAGACTAACGATAGAAGTGAGTAACAAAGTTTGTTGTGAATAGTAACTCCGACGTATTGTCTTGCATTCGGCTTAGCTTCCGCCAAACATTGGCGGCAATGGAATAGCGCGCCTCAACAACCAGTCACTTCCTCCTCAAAACTCCTCCCTTCAACCAACACCGTCTATTTCACTTCAATCAACAGCTCTATCTCAAACACTATCTGCTACACAGACGCAACCGCCATCAACTATACGCCCGACAATGCCACCTATTACATTTCAGGTGCAACTACTGCTGTTAAAATACTCTGCAAAAGCATGTGCCATTGTGGGTCTTCTCAAACACAGGGACAAAAAAAAACTAAACACCACCGAACAGTTAACTTTTTCTTTTTGGACAGCTGGACAAAATACTGACCAGCAGGCAAGTTAGAACGTGAGGCCGAACACCAAAAAAAAGATGGGAAATTTTAACGAGATTCCAAACGGCGCGGCGGCTATCTTCTGCTACTCTTCGAACTCAACCAGCATTTACTGCGCAGACGATACCACCACTTGCTATCCTTCAACTATCATCTAATGCACTTCAGACAAAAGCACACTTTACACCTCAATCAGAATTATCGTATGCTCCGCCACCGATACG